AAGAGTTTGTAATGATATCAAAATTCTAGAAAAAATCCCATTTTTCAAAGTTCAAAGTTCTAGAATCCTATTTTTCAAAGTTCTTTTTTTTAAGGTTCTTTTTTTTAAAGTTCAAAAATCTCATGATAAATTGCTTACTAAAGTTATGAAGTGTAAAGTAAAGGATAACAGTAAAGGGAAACAGTAAAGGATAACAGTAAAGGAAAGCTGTCGATCAATTCAAAAACAACACTTCACATTAGGGCTTCTTTTGTCTCAGACTCATAAAAAATTAAAAAATCATATTGAAATGACTTTGGCAAAATTTTGCGGTTTCAAATTTATCACAAATAAAGCTTATTTCTGACTTCTAATGCTCAGTTCTTCGAGAACAATTTTAGCTTTGAGCTTGAATTTGATCTATTTGAAAGCTTTGATTTACTTGAATTTTATCTATTTAATAGCTTTGATTTACTTGAATTTGATCTATTTGATAGCTTTGATTTACTTTAAATTTGATCTATTTGAGAGTCTTGTCAAGCGTAATGCATAAGTGAGTTGTTCTTAGATTGAATCAATTCAGCAGGAAGTAATTCCCGCAAAATTGAAACATCTACTTTTGAGTGGATGTTTTGAGCGTGATTCACCTTATTTAAGCGCTATTTTCACTCAAATTTCATAATCGATTTTCAACTTTTAAGTCTTTTAAGTCAACTTTCAACTATTACTGCCAAATCAATTACCGTATTTACTTTATTAGTGGGGTCCCCCACTATTTTTTCAATCCCCTTCCAGACGACCCCACTATTAGAGAGGACCCCACTATTAGAGAAATTTAAAAGAACATAAAACCAAAGTTTTAAATTGAAAAGATATCAATTTTTCTCCGAAATTCTTGACAAAACAAGTTTGGCTTCATATTTTATTTAGCTTTAACCGTAACAAAACATTAACAAACAGTAAAAGAACTAATCCAAGAGATCAACAATTGATGTATCACTTTCGTTACCAATATTAGAGAGGACCCCACTATTTTTTCAACCCCCCTCCAGACGACCCCACTATTAGAGAGGACCCCACTAATAGAGTAAATACGGTAAGTTTTCAAATCTTTTCACTCAATTGAGCCAAATCGTTGAGTGTTTGGTGTTTTTTGTCGGTGTCTGTGCTGGAGTTGAAAGAGCTAAAAAGTGAAGAAAGGAGGAAAAAAGAAGAAGAAATGAGATCGGATCTGCAGTGTGAGTGAGTGAATCGAGTGAATGACGAAAAGAACGAAAGAAAAGAAAAGAAGATCCCGTCATTCATCCTCAGGCTTGAAGCGAGCCTCTCTGCTTCTCCATTTGGTTTGCCATTGCCAACCATTTCACTCGATACTCAATTTTTTTTCGCAAATTTTCATTCGGCTTCTTTTCTTTTACTTTACACTTCATAAATTTAGTAAACAAAAGTCAATTTAGTAAGTTTTTGACTATGAAATTTTTGAAAGCAAACTGTAGCTTCAATTTTTTGAATTGAATCGTTTTTAGCTATAGCTTAGCTATGTTTTTAGCAATCTTAAAGTGTTTTTTTTATTAAAAGCAACTCAATGAATGTATTGGTTTATACTTTTAAACTAAGAATTTCACATTTCATTCCTCATTTGCTTTAATATTTAGTATGATCTATTAGATTTTTTTGTGGAAAAAGTAGAACTGAACTCCTTGAGCTTCTAGCATTCATGATATTCATGATAGCAGAGTAGTCCTCAATTCTGTACACTATTCAAAGCTCCCAATATCTCTAAAACACCTCCAAATGGCATTTCCTTCTCTTTTCCAAAATCAAATTCCTCAAAGCGAATCACTGAAGCCATCATAAGGCTTGCAACCTGTTTTTTTCCTTTCTTTCTTTATCGTTTTCTCTTTCCCGTTGATCTTCTGTGAGTCAATCGTCTCGTTTTGGGTGATAGTCCTTTAGGGATTCTCTCTTTTTCTTCGATCAAGTACATGCCAAGAGCAAAACCGATAGTATTCAGTCACAACGTCATTCCTATGGTCCTTCTATGGGTTAGCGTTGGATACGCCGGTCCTTTTATGGGTTAGCGTTGGACATGCCGGTTCTTCTATGGGTTAGCGTTGGACATGCCGGTCCTTCTATGGGTTAGCGCTGAGAATACAAAACGTGATCGCCTGGATTCGAACCCACGACCTCTCGCTGATCGGGTGAACGCTCTACCCAATGAGTTACACCGATATTTATCTCATTTCCAATAGGATAAAGCCTTATGCTTTACTCTATACACTATTAGGAATAAATCTTTTTGTTTCTTTTTGTTTCTTTTCATATTTCCGTTAAAAAATTACAAATTCATCAATTCATCTATGGTTTTCTCTTTCATTCATCAATTCATCTATAAAAATTCATCAATTCATCTATAAAAAAGATTTATTGCTCAATTTCCCATCTTTTTAAGTCAATTTCGCTTCATTTTCAAGCAAATTTGAGAGTGAAAACCGTGTTTTTAGTAAAAATCTATAAAAGAAATTCAGACATTACACGTTTTAATCTTATTTTGCAAAAAAAATAATTGACTTTTCGAATGAAACAAACCGTTTTTCAATTGGTGCATTTCTTGGTTATAAACAAAAGTACGAAAAGAAACAAAAAGACTTTCTGAACAGCCGAATATGATATTATTGAATTGAAGGGAGATACAATGGTTGAGCTTGGGTGGTTATTGATACAATTGATACCAGATTTTGGTCCCAAGATCCCGATCAATCCCAATACAAGATCCCAATCAATCTCAATATCCCAATCAATCCCAATCTCCCAATCAATCCCAATCTCCCAATCAATTCCAATCTCCCAATCTCCCAATCAATTCCAATCTCCCAATCAATTCCAATATCCCAATCAATTCCAATCTCCCAATCAATCCCAATCTCCCAATCAATTCCAATCTCCCAATCAATCCCAATCTCCCAATCAATCCCAATATCCCAATCAATTCCAATCTCTCAATCAATCCCAATCTCCCAATCAATCCCAATACAAAATCCCAATCAATTTTGGCTGGAATTTTGTTATCCAGTCTTTTTCAAGTCTTTTTATTCCTTTTCGTACTTTTGTTTAAAACGAACAAATGCATCAATTGAACTACGGTTTATTTTGTTTGTTTAAAGTTTCTGGACAGCCTAAAAATTACCAAAAATGAACCAAAAATTTGATATAAATCAATACCACCAAGCTGACTTGCAACTTCATTTTATTACTAATATAATAATGCTGAAATAGCCAGGTTACAGTCAGAGCCTAAGCCTGCATAGAGAAATTCCTCCAAGATACGGTCAACTCAGCCAGTCAGTCCAAAAGCCAAGTCATGGAAGATATAAGTTTAGCCGACCTGGTCATGAGTATGAGTATACTTTGCCATAAATACTTTACCAAATTTGATATAAATCAATCCCATCAGTCTTACTTACAAGTTCATTTTATTGCTAATATAATAGCTAAATAGCTCGATTACATGTCAAGTGCAAAACCAACAGTCTTCAGTCACAACATCATTTCTAAACACTATCTAGTCACAGTAAACTCGTTTATTTTATGGAAATTTTTAGTAAACATTTATTGAAGATCTTCCCAGTTACCATTATAGTTAAATTTAGTTAGTATTATACTATTATAGTTAAAGCTTTTCTGAAATCCATTTGACTTTTGAAAACCAAGGACCCGACCGTATTAAAGTCTTTATTCATGATTGGTCTTCAGTTTTTTTGAAACTTCAAAAATCTACTAGAGCTAAAGCCTGTAGCTAAAGCCTGTAGCTAAAACCTTTAGCTAAAACCTGTAGCTAAAACCTGTAGCTAAAGCCTGTAGCTAAAGCCTGTAGCTAAAGCCTGTAGCTAAAGCCTGTAGCTAAAACCTTTAGCTAAAACCTGTAGCTAAAGCCTGTAGCTAAAGCCTGTAGCTAAAGCCTGTAGCTAAAGCCTGTAGCTAAAGCTATCTGGTAGCTTTTCATGCAAACTTTTTCCTTTTGCCGACTAAACTGAGCTGGGTGCCTTTAATTTCGATCAGTTTCTTTTCATTTCAAAAATTTCTTTAGATTTGACCGTTTCGCTAGATTTTGTGGAGAAGTCAAGTTTTAACTTTCAACTTAATCAGGCATTGCTTTCCTTTACCTTTTCGATACACCATTAATAGTTTGATCAAGTTCAATGCCAGGCATACTTGAACCGTTATCCTTAATTCCATCTTGGACTTTTTTTTGCAGTAAAGTTTTTTTTGTAATAATCATTGACCTTTCTAATGAAAGTAAAGTTTTGCAATGATAAAGTTTCAAGTAAAGTAAAGTTTACAGCCATTTTAGGCTTTCTGAAATCACAAAGCTTTCCTATAACATTCATCCTGAGACCCTTAGATGGATGTTTTATAAAAAGTAGACATTTATTCAACATGAATAATGTGACACAAACAAATCTTCGAATAATTCTAAAGATGTTGAAGAGGAAAACTCATGTATATAGAAAAAAGAGCAAGATTATCTAGCTGAAATCGAACCAGTGACCTCGTAACTAGGATACAAGACTTCTCACTAGGATACAAGACTCCTAACTAGAATACAAGACCTCTAACTAGGATACAAGACTCCTAACTAGGATACAAGACCTCTAACTAGGATACAAGACTCCTAACTAGGATACAAGACCTCTAACTAAGATACAAGACTTCTAACTAGGATACAAGACCTCTAACTAGGATACAAGACTCCTAACCACTCGATCATGACGGCACAATGATAAAGCTTTGAGTGATTTGCTTTCCTTTACCCTTGTAGCTAAAGCTATCTGGTAGCTTTTCATGTAAGCTTTTTCCTTTTACCGAATTTCAACTTCAACGTCACTAAACTGAGCTGGGTGCCTTTAATTTCGATCAGTTTCATTAAAGTTATTTCTTAATATTTCTTTAATATTTTGATTCAGTTCAATTCCAGGTTTAAACCTTGCTAAAGCCCGATAAGGGCAATTATTTTGTCTCAAATGAGATCCCCCGGTCATGTGATTTCGCACGCTGTCTCAGAATTCTTTCGCAAAACCGGAGTACAAGTTTATCGGTAAGTTTTAGAAGAAAGTGCAAATTTAGCAAATAGATTAAATTTTCAGACACCCGGCTTTCTTTTTCTGGATCCCAGTGCTGTTGACGATATTCAGTGCGATCGGTTTATTTCGATGGAATGAGGAGAATAGAATTTGGTCGGTTTCTTGTAAAAATCAGCAAATTCTTTGTTTTGTACTAAAAAAAGGATTATGAAAGTTAACATCGACATTTGAGATTCATTAAATACTTTGTTCTGCTCTTGCATTTCTCCAAGTTGAAACTCAACATTTCTCCACTTCAGGTATCTCTACTCTCCGAGCGGTGCTCCATCTCATTACGAGCACAAAGTAGCCAATGAATTTTTCGATGATAGAGGCGGGAAATTTTGGCTCGAAGTGAGTTTAGTGTGAGCATTTAAAGATCTCATTATTAGGTTAAAGATCTAAACGATCTAAACGATCTTAACAATCTTTAACGTCGTTTTTTTGCGTTACTGCCCCAGCAGACGAGAGGGGTTTCTCGCAAAAGCTATTAGCCCCGAAATACACCTCCTATATGTAAAATTTCATGCTGAATCCGAATCTGTAATCAGATTTTGAAAATATTGCTGCTTCAAAAAGATATCCGCTCCTTTTGACTCGTGAGACAAAACGCCCCATTTCTTTTTCTCCAATGGTCTGTTTTGCACGATTTTCCACGATGGAGCTCAGCTAGATGAAAATTTCATATCAACATCATTTTTTGATAAGAATTGATCCCAAAAAGGCCCGGTGAAGGAAATTGTGGTCCACCGGACGAAATCCCTCCCGCCCCAGAGACAGACGCTCTATCGACTGCGCTATAGAAGACCTCTATTGCGCGTATCACAGTAAAACACTGGGATACGCGCAATAGAGGTCTTCTATAGCGCAGTCGGTAGAGCGTCTGTCTCTGGGGCGGGAGGGATTTCATCCGGTGGACCACAATTTCCTTCACCGGTGGACCACAATCTCCTTCACCGGTAGACCGAACCGTCCCGAACGTGTTAAGAGATCTTCATCACCAACCTAATACTAAAAATCCAGGTTTCAAAGTTCAAATACAAGGGTTTTTAATGTTAATAATGGGTTGACAAAGATTGCATGCTTACGAAGATTGCAGGCTTATTGCAGGCTTATTTTCAAGTTTCAATCTTTACAAAGTTTTGCCAAGTTCTCGATCTCTAGGTCTCTATCACCGCGCACGATATGGGAAATCTGTTGAGGAGGGAACATTTGGACAGTATCGATGCATTGTCACAATATTTACAGGTACGTAAAGCATTGTTCTTCTTTCCGATTGCAATTGTTATTGCAAACGTTGAATCCTTTTTTTCTTTTCCAGTTCAACTTCACGGTCCCATGCGCGAAAACGATAAAAGCAACAAAAAATTGCTCGTTCGACGATCTGTGCTCGGGTGCTTGCAACGATAATCAGGTTGGCGGGGAAACTGTTTACAAGGCTGCTTACAAGGCTGCTTACAAGGCTGCTTACAAGGCTGTTTACAAGGCTGTTTACAAGGCTGCTTACAGGGCGGCTTACAAGGCTGCTTACAAGGCTGTTTACAAGGCTAAGTTTCAAAAGAAAGAATCTAGCTTAAGAATATGGAAGCTCAATTTGATTTAGTGTTTGATTTAGTGCTCAATTTGATCTGATCTAATTCAAATTCAATATTGTTTTTGAATTCTAATATAATATTCTAAAAATCGGCTTAACCAACTTTAAGCTTTTCCTTGATATTGTACAATTTAACTAATAGCTTTTACAAAAAAAAAGTCAAAGGAAAAAGATGTCAAGTCAAGCAAAAGCCAAAGCCAATTCGTCTACTTGGATAAAAAGCTTAGAAATTTGAAAAAACAACAGCTTTACAGGAGGTTAACATTTGCTTATTACCCTAAAATGGTTAACAAGCGAATTCCTCGTGTTTCTGTTCGGAAATTTTCAATTTAGCCGGAAATTGGTGTCAAAATGAATCAGATTTGACTATTTGGTGCTCTAAAATTGTCTAAACTCTTTAGATTTTGAAATTTTCATTAGATTTGCGTAGATTTTATTGAAAACTCGGTGAAGCGAGCATTAAAACGATCTGAAATTTCAGCATTTGGCTTTGGCATTGGCTTTGGTATTAGATTTGGTGTTAGCTTTGGTATTAGCTTTGGTATTAGATTTGGTATTAGATTTGGTATTAGATTTGGTATTAGATTTGGGATTGGCTTTTGTATTAGCTTCGGTATTGGCTTTGGTATTGGCTTTGGTATTAGCTTTGGTATTAGCTTTGGCATCAGCTTTGGCATTAACTTTGGTATTAGCTTTGGCATTAGCTTTTGTATTAGCTTTGGTGTTAGCTTTGGTATTAGATTTGGTATTAGCTTTGGTGTTAGCTTTGGTATTAGCTTTGGTATTAGCTTTGGTATTAGCTTCGGTATTGGCTTTGGTATTGGCTTTGGTATTAGCTTTGGCATTAGCTTTGGCATCAGCTTTGGCATTAGCTTTGGCTTTGGCCAATTTAGCCTAAAACCTTGGCTTTAGCTTGTTCCTGTCTCTGTATTTGAATGGATTTTAAGGATGTAAAGTACGTGTACTGTAGCAATATGTGGTCGTGCTAAGTTAACCAGCTGTCTTGTCTGGCTTCAGTAGACAAAAAGTATTCAGCTTTGAATCAAAGAATTGCAAATATCTTTGCAATTCTTTGGTTGAAACTTAGGAATTCGAAACTTTTCTGGCTGAATACAGTCAATATTCCCAAATGTAATCAAAATCATTATCCATCCCATGCTGCTTACTGTGAAATATGGATTTGTAACTTATCTTTATCCTCCTTGTCTTTATCTTCCTTATCTTTATTTTCCTTATCTTTATTTTCCTTATCTTTCCTATCTCTTGGGCAAAGAAGGCGCCGATAGCTCAGCGGTAGAGCATTGGCCGGTAAACAGAAGATCGAGGATCCAATTCGCCGCGGTTCCAAGTCCTTTGCCATCAATTTCTTTACTTTATTACCTAGCTAATTAAAAACCAACACACCCTTACAATTAGCCCATTAGCATTACAATTTTAAAACTTTAAAACTTTAAAACAAGATTTCACCATCATATGCATTATTTCATGTATTATTCTATTTTTATTTACCATTTAGGTGATCCCGATCTTTAATCTCATCTACCGAAACGCCACTCAGCGTTTGCATCCGAATTTCCGGTAAATTTCATGGAAAAAAGTTATTGTTGCAAGTTTGTTGGGGAAACAACAAACTGTTTAATGATAGTTCAACGAATGATAGTTTAATGATAGTTTAATGATAGTTTAATGATAGTTTAATGATAGTTTAATGATAGTTTAATGATAGTTTAATGATAGTTTAATGATAGTTCAACGAAACGACAACGCACCGATGGAGTAGCAAAGTAAAAAGAAGAAAAAAAGAAGAAAAAACAAAGAAGAACAAAGAAAAACAAAGACAATAACAAAGAAAAACAAAGCAAAACATTTCGCACAGGTTTCCATCAATTCATCTTTTGAAATTTTAGACTAACATTCCCAACAATGCATTTATACAATGATGAGTACTATGTGGGAGAGCACTTTGCTGGCGTGCAAATCGATCGAAAAACAAATTTGATCTCTCATGTAAAGGTGAGTTATTGGGGAAAAAGAAAAAAAAACATCTATATTTATATATATGATTCAGGATATGAAATAAAGTGCGCCAAGTTTAATCCACATAAATCCATACAAATACACACGAAAAGGACCGATAGACAAATAGAAACATAGAAACATAAAAGCATAGAAGCATAGAAGCATAGGAACATAGAAGCATAGGGACATAGAAGCATAGGAACATAGAAGCACAGAAACATAGAAGCATAGGGACATAGAAGCATAGAAACATAGAAGCATAGGGACATAGAAGCATAGAAACATAGAAGCATAGAAACATAGAAACATAGAAACATAGAAACATAGAAACATAGAAAGCCGAGACAGATCGACACATAGAAAGCAAAACGATAGTATTTATTGGGCATTTGGTAGTCGTTGCACTATTGAGTAGCACAGATAAAGTCAAGAATCAACTAGAACTGTCAGCTCTGAGCCAAACTGAAATTTTAGATACTATTGTTATTACTAAATGATTTGTCTATTAGATAAATTTGATTTTACTTATCCCTTGACTTTACTCATCCCTTTCATCGCCGAGAAGTCCCTGGGATTGCCTAGGAGGACAAGTGAGGCTCTCACTTGAAGTCTCCCCTTTCCCTTTCACTCATTTGCAATCTATTCGTCTATCGTACTAAATAAAGATACATAACTTTCGGGTCTATGCAATTGCAGTTCAGGCCGATCATTTCACAGGGACTCCCCTCTAATACGTTGGAGGAGTTGAGTCGGGTTGTCGGGGTGTTAGAGATAGATATCAAAAAGGATTCACTCTCTTTAACTTAACCCAAATTCTAGTCCACAGGAAAGAACAGAACTGAAAGATTGAGATACAGATCAATATACAGATCAAGATCTACAGAGAATTTAAAAGACTTGAATTTTGGACCTTTTAATTAATTATCGTTGACATGGCTTTACCTTTACCAATTTGAAACATCAAAAAATTTAACCAAACAAAAAACAAATTTTTATTTCAAATATGAGTTGTGGAAGTGATAAAAGTTTTAAAAACACTTTTAAAAAGATAAAATTAAAAACATAAACATAATTAATTTAATTACCCAAGTTTAATTACCCAAGTTAGTTTAATTACCCAAGTTAGAGGTGTGCATCTATTTTGTTGAAAGATGTCATTACCGTGGTACTATCTGGAGCGAGCCACGAGGGTAAAATTAGTACGATTATATTATTTAACCTGTTTCTTCACATATCCAGCGTTTGTTGCATTGAATTACAAAAGCTATGTTCCGGATAGAGCTCAGATACTTATGGGTAGAAGTCTTGAAGATGAAATTCTTAATCAATGATGTGATGATGATGCAATGATGTGTCTTTTCTAGGTTTTATTTGATTACATAAATTAGGATGTATATAAATATAATAGCGGCAATTGGGAGCAAAAATTTGACAAATTGAAACAAGAAACGAAAAAAATTGAACAAAGTTTACCTCCAGGAATTCAATTTTACCCAACAATGCCCAATTTTGCCCAATTTATGGTTAATATTATAAAAATCTCTATTCAAATGCTTTATTGAATTGAATTGAATTGATTTTACAATTATTTCAAATCCTTAAATCATTTGTGACATCAATTTCCAGGTGATCATGCTCTATTTCCGAACGGATCGCCAGAATATGGTTGTCGGCGATGCGTTGAAAAGGTTTAGTTTCAAGTTTTTAAACATTAAACGCCAAATTCTCTGGATAATTTTCGGAGTTTCTTTTTTGGAGTTTTAAGCACTTCTTTGAATCAAAGCCGCCTTTTTAGATTGTTAAGATCAATTTTTGAATTCAATTTCAATTCAATTTCAATTTCAACTTCAATTCAATTTCAATTTCAATTTCAAAACTGCTCAATCAATCTAAACTAACAGTAATATAGCAGATTTTTAGATGGGAAGAGAAATTGATCGATTTCACGGCGAATTACAAAAATCCACTCTTGAACATCTCGTCAACGAGTGATGGAATCGTTTCACAAGAGGTTAATTTCAAAAAAACAAATCAAATCTGGTTCATCAAAGCAAATCAAATCAGATTTTAACTCTTTTCTGAAGGAATGTCACGCTTTGAGGGGCAGCCACTTTATCTAGAAATACTATTATTGTTTCCTTTTGTTTTATATAGCTTTAATGAAGAACTTTTAAACTTTTAAATGATATAAAATAGAGTTTGATTGGATGAAAAAATCCTAAGCGAATCAAGAGATAAAGCGCTTCCATTCTTCTCTCAATTTAGCTGCTTTTTAAGTAACAAAATGGCTTAACAGTATCTAGAATTTGTATCAAAAATACTAGCAAATTGTTCCCAATTTGTGCAACAATAAGCGCCCCGCCCCTTCGCCATTAGCAATCCAACTTTGAGTTCAAACATCTTGGTGTTGGGTTGTCCAATTTATAAATTATTGATATCATTAGATGCGCCAAGTCTTTCTCTGTCGATTGGTAATAAAAATGATCTAAATTGAACCGCCAAACAGCAAGATATTTAAGCTTAAAGTTGGATTGCTAATGGGAAATGGGGCGGGGCGACGGACTTTATACGCGCCCCGCCCCTTTTTCCCATTAGCAATCCAAGTTTAAGCTCAAATATCTTGGTGTTGGGCTGTTCAATTTAAATAGTTTTTGTACCAATCGAGAGAGAAAGCCTTGGCGCATCTAATGATATCAATAATTTATAAATTGGACAACCCAACACCAAGATGTTTGAACTCAAAGAGATAAAGCGCTCTTCTCTCAATTTAGCTGCTTTTAAGTAACAAAATGGCTTAACGGTATCGAGAATTTGTAATAAAAACGCCAAATTTAAGGTAAAAATTGTTCCCAAAAAGATTTAGGAATAATATTGACCTTTAAAGCATGATCACTCAAGTAAAAGTTCCCTTTAACGAACTAGGAGCGGCTAATTTTGCACAATGCTACAAAATTTCAAACCAACTCAATTTAAAGGTGCGTCGAAACGGGATGTCTTGTGTTCCATTTTTCAATCTCTCCATCGTCCTCGTCTTTTCTTCATTTTCGTCACAAATTGGTCGGTTTTGGTCAAGTTTCAACATCAAAATTCTATTCTAATTTCCTATTTTCAGGCGACAGCACTTCATTATCGCACAACGTTGTCATGGCTTTTCTCGGCATCGTCGGCCCGTTGATGGCCGTCGGGACGACGTAA